CTATTATACTTAATGACAATAGAACCACTAGTGAGTAAAATAGAAGATACAGATTCCATTAAAGAAATAAAGATTTTAAGAGAGTCAATAAAACTTACAATGTATGCTGATGACGTCATACTCACGCTGAGTGACCCTTTGATATTCATGGAAGAGTTAATGGATATCAAAAGCGAGTTCTCATTATACTCAGGATATAAACTGAATTTAAATAATTCTGCAGCATGTTCAATTTATCACAAACAGTTAAAAAGAAACTATCTGAAAAATTTGGTTTTGACTGCAATAGAAATTCTCTGGAAAGTTTGGATAAAAAAATTAATAATGAGCCAACTAGAATAATGGAACACAACTTGTTAAACCTGTTAAAATAAACGAGTAAAACATAAAAAAATGTAGGCATCATGGTGGGAGAGAATTAACATGATAAAAGCATACATATATCCAAAGTCTCTCTCTTCCGCATGGTACCTGTCCAGAAAGCTGGCTAACCCTGGTCCAGTCAATTTTTAATACATTTATTTGGGCAGGGAAATGCCCACGGATAAGTTCAAATCAATTTGCGTAAAAGATCAACCAAGGGGACTTGGGAATTCCACAGTTACAACGATACTGCAAGGAACCAAATATGGTACAGCATTGAACAATTTCTATATAATGAAGGCAAGCAGAAGGAGGAATTGAGTACCTTATTTTGGACAACTGAAAGTAAAAACAAATATAGGTACAGTATAAATTCTAATAGCCAAATTTTTAATAATAAATTAACTATATGGAACAAGATTAGAAAAGATCTAGATGTACAAGACAAAATAATCACTAGTCTTCCTATAAGTCAATTAAATAGTAATATGATGGACTTAAATATACATAAATGGAATACTCTTGGGGTTAAGAAAATTGGCAATATAGTAGAAAATGGTAAAATCAAAGATTTCAATTCCTTAAATTTAGACTATAATATTGATAGTAAAGAGATTTTCACATATATAAGAGTAAAGGGCTATCTTAACAATTATCTACTCAAAGATAAATCAAATAAACAAGAAAAACTTGAAGAAATATAAAAAAAATAGAAACAATATTTAAAAAATAGTGTCAAGATGTCTTGATCTATATGAAAGGAAACCTGAAAATCTCAATTGTTTCATAATAAATAAATGGGAAAAAGATATACATACAAATATAAGTTACGATGAGTGGAAGAGATCTATAGCTATCATCTCAAAGAATATACACTGCCTCAATCTGTCTGAAGTACAGTTCAAGATCATGAATAGATGGTACTTAACTCCAAGACTTGCAAAAATGCATTTAAATATTTCCAACAGATGTTGGAGATGTGATTCTCATGGTGGAGGGATGATGCATATATGGTGGGAGTGTGGGTCAATATTTCTCTTTTGGAGTATGATTGCCATTAAAATAAAGAAGCTGACCAATATCAAGCTAGATTTAGTCCTGAACATCTTTTTGTTGCATCTAAATATGATACAACATTTTTGGGCAATTCTCTGCACTAGTCATACATTTTTTGATGGCTGCAATACTATTGGTGGCAAGAAACTGGAGATCTACTAAGGTTCCTTGTTGGGGCTTAGTTAAAGAACAATTGGTGTATCAGCTAAGGATGGAAATGGGAAAAACACCAAAAGACAGGAAAGGATGAAAGAATGGCTGTGTAAGATGCAACAGACATAATACAATATTTTCTCGTCTCTTTCTTTTTTAATTTTAACCCCCCAAATACAACATAAGGCATAATCTAGATGAACAAAGGTAGAATGATAACGTTATATGAAGTCCTATCTATCCTGATCCCCCCTACAGGAAAAAAGAAAATGGAAAAAACTTGAATTAATTAGAGTTTTTATAATATTATATTTTTGTTATGTGTTGACGTGCTGGTTATGGGATGTAAAATTTTAATTTGGGATATGTGTAATCTATTAAATAATGGATACGGAAAAAGATATATTACTATGCTATATACATAGACACAAAACTGTGTAAGCCATGTATGTTATAATGTATGGTCTTGTGACTTACTTGTGAAATACTTTTATGAAATAAAGATTAGATATGGAAAAAAATAAAAATAAATAAATAGATTAATAAATAAATTGGGGAGGGATGGCAGTGTACTAATTTGGGAGAGGCAGGGTGCAGTGTATTAAATATGGGGAGGGAGCAGTGTATTAGAGTGGTGAAAATGGGGGCAGTGTGTTAAATTGGAGGTAAGGGCAGTGTATTAATTTGGGGAAGGAAGGGGGTCAGTGTGTTAAATTTGGAGAAGGAAGGGGCAGTGTATTAGAGTGGTGAAAAGGTAGGGCAGTGTGTTAAATTGGCGAGAGGGGGCAATGTGTAGAATTGGGGGGAGGGCAGTGCATTTAATGTATTGGATTTGTGGGCAGTGTATTAGATCGGGTCTGCATGGAGATGATGATTGGCTGAGCATCTTTTATATATACTCTTTATTTTCCCATGCACGATGAAACAACAGCCACACAGGAGTAACTATCGACATAGCGATACACATAGCTGTAAGACATATGAGTGGTAAAGTTACATTATGTGGTATATGCTATCTTCGCATGTTTTTTATAATGTTATTACAGTCAAGTGAAATGAACATGTTTAATACCCAACTAAAAACGTGCTAACTTTTGCAGGCTTGTCTAGCATGTTTGGTAGGGTGAATACATCTGCAAACTACCTGATGATTAGTGAGTAGTGATGTCCCGAACTGTTCGCAAACGGTTCGCCATGGACTCATCATTGAGTAAACTTTGACCCTGTACCTCACAGTCAGCAGACTTATTCCAGCGAATCAGCAGCAGACCCTCCCTCCCAGACCCTTCCACCTCCTGGACAGCTCACTAAGAATGCAGCTTCACAATGGATGCTGTCCAGGAGGTGGGAGGGTCTGGGAGGGAGGGTCTGCTGCTGATTGGCTGGAATGTGTCTGCTGACTGTGAGGTACAGGGTCAAAGTTTACTCAATGATGAGTCCGCGGTGAACCATTTGTGACGAACTGTTCGGCAAACAGTTCGGGACATCACTATTAGTGAGGATGAGAGATACTAGCATTAAAGACAACAAAGAGAACATGGTATTACAGAGAGTTAGTATGTAGGGAAATGCCACCTTTTAGCGGTGGATTGTCTGGTGTGAATATGTCTGTCATGTGTCCTCCAGCTGTCAAGTCTCAAGTGTGGTAAACTATATGGGAGTATGCCATCTCTTAGTTGGGATTTCATCTAAGGAGCTGTCACACATGCACAATAGCCTCCTAATGCTTTCCTATGGGAAAGCACAGGATTCGCTGAGATCATCAAGTTTGCTGATCTCAGCCAAAGGGAAGAACACACTCATAGGACTTCAAAATCAACAAGATAATGTAATTTGTTTTTTACAGCTGTGCAAGAGCATACATTCACCATTTCCGTCCCACTACCAAACGTTACTTAATATGTCAAGGTAGTTGGACTGAAACATTGGTAATATGCAAATATACGTCTTCTTAAAATAAATTTGCCCTTTTGTTTACTTTGAAGTCCTACGGGCATGAGGACGTCCAGTGTCAGTTAGGCAACTTTTTTAAACTGTACTTTTCAAAATGAACCTACGCTTCTATGAAAGTTTAGTTTTTTTGCAGTCCACATAAACTTAAACCTTGTTTATTTGGCCCGTGTTAGCCTTTGAATTTGACATGCTTGATCCTTGGTTATTATCTGATCATCTATTTCTGGTGAGACCTGTGAGGATTTTGCAACTAGATCTGCCATATTGGAGGGCATTTCTTTCATATATGATTTATCTGGGTGCAATCAACTCATTTGGGGGGAGAGGTGGTTAACTTTTTTGTATCCTGATTCTTCCTAATTGCAATGTTATCTTTTGGCACACAGTGGAAGGGGGGCAAAAAAATTATCTCCAATTGTATGATGTGTACTTATTGAAGCTGGAGCTTGTTTCAACCTTTTGAGGCTCAATTCATACAATCAATAAAACCATGATTCAAAACTATTGTTATCATCAATGCTTACAACTGGTTCTGATAGGTCAGTCAAAAATAAAGATTAATTATATAGCATGAATTAGTTATGAAAGCAAACACCTTAATGACTTTCAATTCAGTTAGCCTGGTTTCAAAAGTAGTTTTTTTTCAAATCTGATTGGTATATGTACATTAAGGCCACCAACAGTATTCAATTGTATAGTGCTCTGGTTGATATTTTCTTCATGCAGCAATCAGCAGGATCAGATATTACACAGAGTATAGATGAGAAAGTTCCTCAATATATATATTTAAAAATATAGATATATTACAAATATAACACAATAAATATGTAACTGTTTACAAGATCACAGTGTGTCTGTGCGGGCAAAAAGCACTGCTACTCAAAAGCTCGTCTTCTCAGTCCGTTCACCGATCTCTGCAGAAACTAGCCAAACGATAACGTCTTTTAATTCGCGGTATTAAAGTTGCCTCCCACCTGATGATGTCAATGCGTATTACGTCAACAAGTTTAATCTTTGGCTTCCTCAGGACATGGGATGTGACTAGAGACTAGAGACTTACACATTCTATCAGTGTTGACTTCCACAGGATCTCATATTAACAAGCGCTCGTGATTAGCTGAGCTTTTTGCCCGCACAAACTCACTGACTGTAATCTTGTAAACAGTTACATGTGTGGAGGTAGTGGTTATTGTGTAGTGCGACCAACCTTTATTACCAACCAAATTTTACCCCCCAATAAAGATCTGAGACTTAGATTGTGGTATTAAACAGGCCACAGCTTTTATTTATAAATTACCAAATATAAATAACCAATAAATAACCAATAAATAACATTATAACCATATCAACATGATATATACATATTTACAGTTGCAAGAAAAAGTATGTGAACCCTTTGGAATGAAGCATTGCCTGATGTGAATGATGCCTCACACAAAAGAGCTCTCAGAAGACCTACGATTAAGAATTACTGACTTGCATAAAGCTGGAAAGGGTTATAAAAGTATCTCCAAAAGCCTTGCTGTTCATCAGTGCACGGTAAGACAAATTGTCGATAAATGGAGAAAGTTCAGCACTGCTGCTACTCTCCCTAGGAGTGGCCGTCCTGTAAAGATGACTGCAAGAGCACAGCTCAATGAGGTGAAGAAGAATCCTAGAGTGTCAGCTAAAGACTTACAAAAGTCACTGGCAAATGCTAACATCCCTGTTAGCGAATCTACAATACGTAGAGCACCTGGCAAAATATTCTGTGGACAGATGAAACCAAAGTTGAGTTGTTTGGAAGAAACACACAACACTATGTGTGGCGAAAAAGAGACACAGCACACCAACATCAAAACCTCATCCCAACTGTGAAGTATGGTGGTGGTGGCATCATGGTTTGGGGCTGCTTTGCTGCATCAGGGCCTGGACGGATTGCTATCATCGAAGGAAAAATGAATTGCCAAGTTTATCAAGACATTTTGCAGGAGAACCTAAGGCCATCTGTCTACCAGCTGAAGCTCAACAGAAGATGGGTGTTGCAACAGGACAATGACCCAAAGCATAGAAGTAAATCAACAACAGAATGGCTTAAACAGAAGAAAATACGCTTTCTGAAGTGGCCCAGTCAGAGTCCTGACCTCAACCCGATTGAGATGCTGTGGCATGACTTCAAGAAAGCGATTCACACCAGACATCCCAAGAATATTGCTGAACTGAAACAGTGCTGTAAAGAGGAATGGTCAAGAATTACTCCTGACCGTTGTGCACGTCTGATCTGCAACTACAGGAAACGTTTGGTTGAAGTTATTGCTGCCAAAGGAGGTTCAACCCGTTATTAAATCCAAGGGTTCACATACTTTTTACACCTGCACTGTGAATGTTTACATGGTGTGTTCAATAAAAACATGGCAACATTTCATTCTTTGTGTGTTATTAGTTTAAGCAGACTGTGATTATCAGATCACATTTTATGACCAATTTGTGCAGAAATCCATATCATTCCAAAGGGTTCACATACTTTTTCTTGCAACTGTAAATGCAAACTTGTCCTTGCCAAGCCATTCCATCACCAAGACCAGAGTACTCCACAGGAACCTGCCCTCCCCCCTCGCCCAAACACCATCTGGCCTCCAATTAGGCCTTAACACCACCTTGCCTCCAACTTGGCCTTCACTTACCACTATGCTAACCACTGGCCGACCTTTGGGCTCAGTGGGCACGCCCATATGACAAACCTTTCCCAGAGGTTAGGGGAGAGACCTAGGCCAACTTTCCATTTTCTCCCTGTACTTTTCCTCCAACCCGGCTTGGCAAGGACCATACTCGCCACTAGCCCCGCTGCTTTACCCCTAAGCGGGCGCGACCCCCCACCAAAGCCATAGCCTGCTTCAACGTATCCTGCAGTGCCAAATTAAATAAATCCAGGCCCATGTCCGTTAAGTGGACCCCATCCGAACAAAAATAAATTGCTGCGTTCCGCTCGAATATGCAGTGCCTAACTGCAAATCCCCCCGATCCCCACCACAAATTTGGAAACTCACTTGTTCACTTTAATCCTGCAGCGCTCCATAGCCCTCTGGTCGCACGTACATCTCCAATAATTATGGGCCACCATCTCTGACCAGACTAACCAAACACCTGGGTAGAGCACCCGCAAGCGGGCTAAGAGCTGCCTGATCAAACCCCCAAACTCCATGACTAGAATGTCCGGGGTGAATGACTAGAATGTCCGGGGGCCCCAGTAAAGTGGACAGCTGGCCATGTGACAAGCTCTGGTAACCCAACTAGCAACGAGGAAGGAAGCTGTTACCAAACCGTTATTTTTAAGATGGCTGAAGCTAGGAGACAACATGACTGCCTATTTATATATTCCAGCCCCTTAATTAATTTCTCCACCACACCCATTTTTACACCTACACTCACCACACCCACCTATGCCTCTTATCCAGCTAGCTTTCAGCCCGCCTCCTCTGGATCTTGTTTATTGTGTTGTATTTGTAATAAATCTACTATACACTTCTTAGTTTTATATAAAGTACTATAACTTTACTATAACTTTATACTGATATACTGTACCATTATTGGATATTTGTGCTTTTTCCTTTTATATGGGAACAATTTACCCTTTGAGAGTCATTCAACCAAACTATAAGTATATTTTGTTATCTCCACTTTTGGGTGCATATTGAGGCTCACTATAGTAATTTATGTTTGCGCTCTACTGATATCCTATTTTTCTACAAAAAACATAGGTTGTCAACGTTATTCACTAAAGTGAGAATTCAAGTTATTTCAAAGTGAATTTTTAATTAAAGATCAAATAAACTGAACTGGCACAATTATCTATGTCAGCTATGCTTTCAGTATGGCTACTTTGGTCTTAAATTTAAAATTCACCTCAAATTAACCTTGACATTTCATTTTAGTAAATAATCATGTTTGTGCCAGACATTGTGCATTATTAAATTATTGTTTTGTAAAAATGAACAGTTAATTACAGTTCATGTAAATAACACATGTAACAGTGAAAATATACTAAATAAGTAAAGTCAAGTTCATGTCATTATTGCTTAATTAAGAAAAATCAGAAGAACATGAAAAATATCTACATGATATTTAAAATTTTCTTGACTGATAAAAAGCCTGACCACATTTTATTAAGATTAGTGCATGGGTAGGTTTCCTAATGTGCAATAATGCTTTTCCTTTTTTTTTTTTTTTTTTTTACAGCATCTATAACATGTCCAATTCTGATAGAAAAGGCTTTAAGACTATGTTGTTTTTTTCAGTGATTGTTATTCTAGCGCTAAGTTTCAGTTTTCATCTGTGCTTATTCCAGGTATGTGTTATATTGACAAAAGTACTATAATCACATGCTGAACTGCCCTGTCTGTTTAATAATTTAGTTCCACTCATAATTATTTCATTGTTGCCTTTCCATCAGCCTTTAAAATCTTCAATTCATCAAGTAACATATTCAGATAACAATGTATCACACATGGACGTTACTGAATCAAGCACAATTCATAATTCTGAAAATATTGACCGAGAGATATATCAGATTTACAATGCCATACATCACGCAATTCCTAATGTATCTTTCACTTGGTTAAATAAGACAACCAGTGCTACAAACAGTAGAGCAATCATATTAGAATACAAGAAAAAGTATTGCATTGGAGATTCCTTAACTGTCCGAGTTGACATGTTTGATTTCTTGGGAAAAAAGAAGACTTATGGGGGAGATTTCTTAAGAGCTCGAATTTATTCCCAAAATCTTGGAGCTGGAGCTTCTGGAAGGATTGAAGACTTTAACAATGGATCCTACCTTATTAATTTCACACTTTCGTGGGAAGGCAATGTGGGAATATCCATTATTTTGTTACATCCAAGTGAGGGTGTGTCTGTTTTATGGAGAACCCGGAATATGGGATATGAAAACATTATTTATATTGGAAAATTTCTCAACAAAACACAAGAGATTCACAAGGAATGTGGATTTTCTTTAGAGTCACAAGAAGAAAAGTGTGAATATGCAGATAAAATACATGGTGAATTTTTCTACTGCCTGAAACCTGAAAACATACCATGTGAAGCTCTAATCTCACTCATGAGTAAGAACTGAAATCATTCATATCTTACTAAATTAGAGAAGAGCATGTTTACTAGGTAAATATATTATTTCTGCTTACTGCATTTTAACAAACTTGCTTAATTTTTAGTAACAGATTTTTTATAGAGACTTTGTTGTTTAGCAAGAGCACTACTTATGTTTATCTGCATGCTTTTTGATTGATACACAATTAACAAACATGTATTTCTTCTTTTCTACACAGACATATAGATATGTATATATATAATGCCTTACATAAGTACTATTGCCATTTTCTGTACAGGACATACCTGGACATAATGTTTTGAATGTGTTTTTATTATGACAATTGCTGAAATCCTGCAAATAAGCTAAAATCGAGCTAAAAATCAATTCACCTGTTTGTCGAATGCTTCAGACTTTTCTTGGAAGCATAGCAAAATGATGAGCATCATGAAGCCCTAGGAGCGATTAAAGCAAGTCCAGGATAAAGTTCTGGGGCAGAATATTCTTAATGCTTTCATTTTTATCTGTGTGTAGTAGCCCCTTCCACACACTATGTGAGGGCTTGAAAGGGGGGGATTTACTCACCTTTCAGCACTCAACCAAACCGGTATCTCCGTCTTGTTTGCATGTCTCATTAGTTGAGATCATCAATATTGAGGATGTCAGCCATCCAATGCTTAGCGTTCATCCATTGAGACCATCTGATTGAAATAGCTGAATTATACTTGGATGTTTCGGCAGAAGCACCTCTAGTGGCTGTCATTGTGACAGCCACTAAAGACATGTAAACACTTCATTTACATGAAGTGATCTGGGTGCCTATAGTCTATTTAAGGATTGGGATATAAAAAATACCCATTGTCGTGGATCAAATCAAGTGTTTGATAATTTTGTATATCTGCCCCTGTCCAAATTATTAAATGCGTGCACGCTCCCAAAAGTAATTCACACCAGACACAAGTTTCAGGTTAATGAAAAACTTGAGGAATGTTTAATCCAGGGGACCAGTGTACCCCTTATAAAGCAGAAATACATCATATGCATAATTATAGATAATAGAGAAAATACATCAACAATTGGTTAGGTGTTAAGTGGTTCTTCTAGTGCACAGCCTACAGGGTGTGATGTCACTGTCATCATGCAGTTCTCCTCCACATTCCAGCACCATCTTGTTAATTGAGGTGATTAGTCGATGGGAGTAGCCCCTAGCGGCCATTTTGAGTAACTTGTGAATAATACAGAGTAAATAGGCATTTTACTAAAGTTAATATTCTGTCCACAACACCTATAAATATATTATTTAACACATAAACATATAATAAAATATCAACTCTGCCTTGAGAAGTTCATCCAATAGTCAGTGACAGGTATGGAGGCAATAGTTAAAGAAGCAAGCAAGAGGCAAATGATAACAGTAGAAGTGCTGAAAAGAGTCACAGTTGAGATGAGGAAAAATGATAAAAGGATAATAATCTAGCCTTCACATATAAACACAAAAAACACAGGTAGGGATAAGCGCTAGAAAAACAACTGACAAAATATAGGCAGCAAAACTTGGACATAGGGGATATCCTCAAACCCTAAAAATGAACAACATAAAATACACAAAAAACAGGTTGCACCAATGGATGGATATAAAGATAAAATGAGTAAAGAAATATATATGGAATA